GCTATTAAAGCAAATGATAACATGTGAAAGTTATATGTTTGCTTGTTGATACAAAGTGTCTCAAAATTATTATTTGTTTTGTATTGTTTTTTTCTCGATAATAATATAATGTGTGAATATTTCGGGTTATTAAATTTTCGACCTTGGTGATCTTTCAGAACGACATATTTGTTGTATGTGCATGTTTGTGGTGATTTAATTTTTTTTTCGATTTTTATTCTCTTTGTATTCCTACTTAAACACTGATACATCATCTTTAGGTTTATATGTTGTCTGGTTTTTTTTTAATTTGTCTTTTGACGTCGTCTTATCTGTGATATGTAGGCTTCATAATATCCATTTTGAAAAGTTTTCTCGTTTCGAGAATCACACGTCATTTTTCATGTTTAAATGTTGAATTCTATTGTACAAAACCGGTGCTATGGGGCGTAGTTGGAAGCTTGCATATACCACTACCATGAACAGGTTCATGAAACGAGTCTGCAACATTTTCAATATTGGCGTTTAGGGCCGTCTTCAGGAATTCTTTTTTAATCTTTTCTATTTCTGCGTGTGTGTATGTGTGTTTGTGTGTGTGTGCGTGTGTGTGTGTGTGTGTGTGCGTGCGCGCGCGCGTGTGTGTGTTTTTTTTGACTCTACAATCGTTTTGTAACATAATTTCATATCCATCGTATTGTACTGCTTAAATGATTTTACAAAATATACGTAATTGCATTGATTTTATAATATACGCATTTTTTACTTGGGGACCATGTGCCGCATTTCATGGAATGGCATGAAAGTAAAAATGCGTGTGCCCCAAACGAGAAAACAATGGACTAAACTAAATAAAATAAAATTTTGAAAGTGGATCAGAGGTCATGAAGCCTGCATATCACAGATAAAACGTCAAAAGACAAATTTAAAAAGCAGGTCACATATCCTAGGAGTGATTCAACAGTATTCAAGTGAGGAACACTGGAACCACCCAACAAGAAAATAGTCGAATAGAAAGAAATAAATAACATGAATTAACTTTTGGTTGTCATCTGTATATATATTTCGATGGAAAAGGTACGAAAGATTACCATCTCTCAATTGTAACTCCCATGCTACAATGTTACTGTAGTGTTGGCTACTATGTGCGAAGCAATTATAAAAATCAGAAACAAAAAAATGCTATTTGTTGTTTTTTATTCTTTTAAGTCTTGGTGGGGTATTTTGTTTGCTTCTTTTTTGTCGTTGTTGTTTTGTTGTTGCTGTTTCTTTTTTGGAGAAAGGGTTGGTTGACCTTATTTTGTAGATCTCTCTATTCCAGAATATTAAAGTTTGACTCATCATTTGTCGTGTTGCTGATAAAAAATGTCACACTTTATTTCATGGCTTTTTCACAAAGATCAAACTAATCCATTGAGAATACTGAACGTTGAATTTCTCAACCATTCCGCTTAATTTAAAAATTAATACAAAACTGTTTCTTCTATAAGTTACAAACCTTTTGGGAAATTATGCCAGCTAAAATATAACGGTTCTTTGCAGCGGAACTTGTTTTCATTGAAAACGAACAAATTGCGATACTTTTTCCAATGACATATTCTCTTGAATGCAGCAATAAAGATTTTCCATATATCTCGCTTATACTCGCATTGCAGTTCTACCATATGATTCCAGTTGCGGCAAACAAATTAAGTCTATTAAGGACAAATCTAACCATTCTTAAATAAAATGTAAATGATAGGTCTTACCATTCTAAAATAAAAGTTTAGAAAACTCTATGATGAAATGTGAGAGATGGTTTTGCCACTATAAAATAAAATGTAAAGGATAGTTGCAAGGAATACGATTATACATGATATAATTTAGGAGCAATTATTATTATCATTTCTGTTTATGTTATGATTTGAGTCTTTATATAAGATATGAAAGAGAATTGCAAGACTGGCTTATCTACAAAATGATGCTCATTCGAATATATGAATGAAGCCATTGTTTAGCTTCCGATTACATCTACTTCGTTATGATTTAATATATTTCATAGAAGTACTAGTCTTATGATATTACGTTTTTGTCGTAAAATATGATTTTATAGTCTATATTAAGATTGATAAAATAAATATGGAAACATATTCAGGAAATAAGCCTTTTAGTTTACTATCAATCTAATAATAATAAATCATATTTTACACCAGTTACGTCTAGACTGTGTGTAACTTCATTTGTATTTCTTTGATTTTGTTACAAGTCTTATTCTTATATTTTTTTGTCCAGAAATAATGTAAAATAACATGAGCTATCTAGTAAAAAAATATTATCAAACAGCTGCTTGATCCTAATCAAACTATTTTATTCCCGATTCTCATGGTAAATCTAATTATTTTGATTCGCTTTTCACTAACAATCTAGTAATTAATTGTTTAACCTTTAACCTAATGAATAGAATTGCGAAATATAATATTTATTGCTTATCTCTTCTTGCCAAAGTCCGAAAGTTAATGTTTGTAGTTCTTGCAAGACACAAAGCACTGTATGTTTATAACAGAATACTTACAGAACGTGTGTACCAGTCTGAGGAAATCTTGTTACAGTTGGTTAATGATGAATAACAATATTATCAATCTTATACATGGCATTCTGAAATACACTGCTCCCTCGGGAGCATTCAACGGGACATATAATATAATACCATTACTAAACTTGGTTAAAACGTGAAAACAACATAAACAGGGCACGGGACAATAAGATAATTTTACAAACGCATCTTAAAGAAGTCAAACAGTGAAAAATGTTTATCATTCTGAATCCATTTATGAATTAAAATAAACATTTGTTTTTAGTGAAAAAATACTTCTCAGGCTATTTGCGAAGAAATTGAGACACAATCGTTTAGACATTTTAAAATAGAAAGTTTAAATATTTTGCTACATTAGAATATGTCTATAATTAAAGATTCAAATAATTTGAGTAGTCATGAGATACAAATTAAATTGTTGCATTCTTTAAGAAAGATCTGATCACTCTTAGCGATACGTATCTGTTACTTATAAATACAAATGAACAAACACATCGTACATTATTACAGTAAAACACCTTTTATAACAAAATAACAAATCAGATAGGTGACGGTTAGTGCAGATATGTCACGAGCACATAATTTGTTTTTTTTATTTATTTCTTCTAAAAAAACTGAAAAGCATTTAAGTCCACTGAATAAACATGTTTCAACGAAAATCGACCAACATTACTGCGGTTTATTCTATGGAAATGTTGTGAATGACATATGATTCGTATCCGACTTTAATCAGTATTAGCTCCGATTATCGCAATACATCACGTGGCTATTACACAATATTATGCGCGCGAAAAGAATGGAAATTGGGGAAAGTCGTCAGATTTTCATAACAATTGGTGAAAAAAGTCAATGTTTTTTATGTTTTTGTTAATAAATCCAGAAAATATACATCGAGTTAAAGCTTTACTATATGATGTAGTTCTGACAAATGTCTGACAAATGTTAGATTTCCTTTTATAGACGATGGGCAATTCAGAAATAAATCTTAATTCTCTATTTCTATATACAGAATTCATTTTTGCAAGAATTTCGTTTTTAGTAATATACGGACTTAATATTAAAATTCCGTATTCTGACTTCGTTCAACAAAATATCCGTATATCACGAGCGGACGGATCTACGTATATGAGTCATATAAAACTTGCCTTATTAATGGTTCTGTAAATCTCCGTATTTCAAATTTTCCGTATTTTTGACCTTATATTAATGATATACGGAACTCTGTGTCCGTATATACATACATTTTCAAAAATTGACTTATTGAAACACGCTTATACATGTATAATAAGTAAATAAAAGAAATTCGATTGCATGAAAAATTAAATGCTTATAGACCAACTCATTTTAACAAAATCAGAAACCAAAAAAGAAGGATTGTGTTTTCATTGTTTTCCTTTGGTAACACGCCCGCATAACTCAGAGCAGTTGATGTAGTTATTTGCGCATGTGTTAAGACAAAAGTCAAATTCCCGACTGTCCCTTGGTATTTCCGCGCTGCACCTTGTCTCACATTGGTAAAGTTTTTTATCAATGCCTCCCGTGTATCCCCAGGCACACTGCTCCAATCTGTATCGAGCATTCAGCACCCTATTCTTAGACACGGACGGTGGTAACGCCATACATAGACTAATACACATGCCAATTAAAGTCGTCCGGCAGCATTCCTGTGAAATGCCTAAGCTATTTAAAAATAGTAATTTAATGAGAATAATAGCATATAAACTAAACGTCATATTAACATATTGATCTAAGTATTGAAACTCTTGGATTTAAATAGTGGTTTAACCTCATTGAAAATATAAAAAAAAAACAACATATATGTGAGCACTAAATTAATGCGATAAAAAGCAGTTCAGATTTAGTGGTTTTCTAAATTTTCAAAGTTGTGTTCATCCACGTTCAACACTTCCTGCATTGTTTACAAAAATCATATAAAAGTTCAATCCGCAGTGCACTCGAAGTCCCACATATTTATTTTCTAAAAGTTTATGACATCTTTTTAACTAAACATCTCGAACTCTCATAAATCTAGTATTATTGTAAATGCCAATAATAATTTTCAAATAGGTATTAAACATGAAATAAGTTCATGTAGACATAGCCACAGATTCTAAAAGCGACGTTTAAGAACCAAGAAAATATCTTTTACGTAGAAAAGGCAGTGTTTTGTATGTAAATATGAAAACAGACAAAATTCACCAGGTAAAAATGTCACAATAAACGAATATAAAATAAATTTCCATCAAGATATTTTTGACTGGCTCTTTTTTTTGGAAATAAAAGGCAACACTAATATATATTTCTTGGCAAATTTAATTATTTAAGAAAAAGATTTGTCAGTCATGTTAAGTTAAAAAGAACAATGAAAATGTTGATGCCATAACATAGTGATATTTCAACAATTATGTGTTTTGCAGTAACAATTATTGTAGATAAAAGAGAAACATATTTGTTGTTGTTGTTGTGATGGTGGTCGTTGTTATGGCTGGGTTGGGATATTCTCCTATTTTGGAAGTGTCGATTGCTCACATGTTCACCACAACAAGATTTGTCACGAAACATAAGTACAGCGCAAAAATGGTTATAGACTATATATAGAAAACGATGAAATTAAGATACAATTAAATACGTCTTCAAACAGGTATAAGACAATGTAAAGAATAAACCAGCTAATAAAAGCTAACATTATTTAGAAGTCGTTCAGGATGCTGACTTCTTCAATTTTTTTTTTAAAAAATCTTGATAATGTATTCCTATAAAAGGCAGACAATTTCATCTCTTTGTCACACGTCAATTTGTACCACTATTTTTATATACGGTAAATTCCGTATAGAATCAGCTAATATGAGAAGAAATCAAATCATTTCATGCATTTGTTTGAGTTTTAATAGTAAGAAAAACGTGTATATTAATATATGTCTTGCATACAATAAAGTTGATTCGATTAATTTCAAAATGAAATCTTCTTAAAGTGTCTTTTTTTCACAGAACTGTCCGCTGTATTTGTAAAGGCAATGGCATTTGTTTGGTCGCATGCATTTCCCGCCATTTTGGCACGGTTTATCACACACAGCTGAAAAAAAATCGTTCTATTTAATTCATACGAGGAAACATTTTTTAAATAAAATCGAGAAAATGATCAATTGTTTAAAATAACAGTAAGCTATGTAAAGCAGTGTTTCATACTTCCATTATTTATTATTTAACTATTAATCAGAAACAGGAAGAAACTTATTTTTATTCTCAGTCAATGGTGGAACGATTTAATATGATATAGTAAATAATGTCTAGTCCGTTACTGGGAACAGACCAGTGCTGGTGTCATATAAGGAGTTATGGTCATGACTCGAGTTAGGCTCGAACCCACGATCCCTCTGTTAAGTGCAGACACCCAAACCCCTGGATTATCATTCCAATTATAAGAAAATCATTGACTTGCACCCACACATTTACCACAATTTAATCAACACACATCTAGATCTTCACCGTCCATCAGAAGATTAAATTTTGCTGATATACATTTGTCTAAGTGGATAGGTCTACACTGGACACATTTTCAGTAAGTTTTTTAAAAATTGATAAAAAACAACAGAAATGTATTACTTTGATATTTTTTTTATAAAATGTTGCTTAAAAATTGTTCAAGAACATTTATTATCTGTAGATAAATATATGCAATATAGGATCATGTATCTCACACTTGCCAACAACAGCCCTATATATTTCTTCCGTGGTTAGTTGTGGCTTACACTAAATACTTTCAACATAATAATTCATTGTATTACAAAATCTCAATTATAGACCAAATCAATTTAAAGATAAAAACCATCGGATAAATATCAATCCACTCAGTTTTCAAAATGAAAGCAGTTTTTAAAATGAAAACAATTGGTATAAAGAAAACATACTTCTGAGAATTTGCTGCTTCAAAAACAGTGTGCTTTTGTCAAAGAATATTCTTATGTACCAAAAATGAAAGGCATCTATTAAAACTGTCCCATTTGCCACAGTTCAGGCGTTCTAATATCTACTTGTTTATTGTCTTATTGTCTAATATTTGCCGCACCTCAAACAATTTACCACTAGGATAATCAATATGATTAGAGTAATTTTACGAGTTCCAAAATATATATTCCATTCGTTATCGCATTAAATTAACATTTTGAAGTAACAATACAAGTTAATTATTTTACAAGTGAAGAAAAACATGTGCTGCACGTTGTCACATTAAATTAACTTACCTCTCTCACAACGTGTACCTTCATATCCAGGTTTACACGTGCAAGTATTAGGAGACGTACATTCACCACCATTAACACAAGGATGTATGCAAATCGCTGGAAAATTAAGCAAACTATTACATATATTTATAACATATTTTTTTAAACATAAAATAATCAAGTTATAAGCCTGGTACGAGTTTAATGTTGATGTTTATTTATTTCGTTTAATTTTTTTGCCGTTTTTGTTCGTGTTGTTTTTTTAGTGAATGGGGAGGGGGTCAAATGACATTTTGCAACATACAGTTTTACACCTATATAAAGGACAATATACAGCTTTTCGGACATGAACATAAGAAATTGTATATAGAAATGTATCAGCTCCGAAAATAATTATTTTGACCGAAATATAAGTCTATAATTTTTTATAAACCAATGATAACAATGTATGTTTTTTTCCTTAAGCTTTCATTTTCAAAGATTACAAGTTATAAAAGCAGTGACACTGTTTTATTGATAAAAAAATATCATATATGTCAGAAAACACGATTTTATTCATAAAATTGTCTCTGTGTCCTTTGCTCGGTGATGGGTTTTTAACACAGGTCTACCTATATCTATATATTAATAGAATGTTTTTCAAAATTGATTGGTCTGCCCAAAGCAAGTATAGTTTTGCATATCAGTTATATACATGGGAAAATGGTAGTATTCTTAAAGTTTTTGTACATGCACATATGCATTTGTAAACTTTCATTTCTTGCATAACTTTCAAAACTCCATTAACAATCAACTTCAGGGTTAAATATACCTCTTTCACAAACCTGACCAGTATAGCCAGAAGGACATTTACACAGGTTCAGACCCAGACAAATACCACCGTGTTGGCATGGTTTCTTACATGTTACTGAAATGGTGAAGACATTCTATTTTCACTGGAGTTGCAAAAGTAGCTATTGTTTATTGATTAAAGGCACATCTGTTCTCAGCACATTTTCTTTTGTATAAAGAGTAAAAAACACAGGTTTATGTACCTATTTATTTTTCAAATAGTGTAATAAAGTACATCTAACTCCCATTGATGAGTGTATAAATGTAAGTTCAATACTCATCATTGTTCACACATATACGCATGACGAAGCTGGAAATATATGTAAACGCAGTCAGTATTTTGACATCCATTCGAAATACTACTAAGTCGAAGTTTGTGCTTTTCAGAAAACTAATCTTTGCTTGAACAAACTGTGAATGTTAAATGTTTACTTTTGTAACAATAATATTATGTTTTTTGAGAACAAATGTGTCTTTCACTTAATGTAGTAATTTTAAAATAAAACCGAAAAAACAACCCCAAAAACGCAGTTTTTATCTTTTTATTTGAGGCAAAATTGATTAAAGCAATACTAAAATAAACAATGCTAATAAATATAAAACGTTCAAGACATTTTAAACAAGAGAGAACACATCGTGCTTTTTGTTTCATTTCATTGTTTTGATAACCATCTCATATTATTTGAAAATAAAATTACCTCCACATTTGATTTCGCCGTCCCAGGTGCCGTCACTCATACACCGTATTAGCGGCGGTGACCTGGACGGGGCCACTCCGGACATGCATTTGAAGTGGATCTCGTCTCCAAAGTAATATGACGCACTCTGTATACGTACCACATTCACAAAGTCACGTAATCTTGGCTTACCACAAAACACTCCTGAATCAAACGATCATCATCATTAAACAATGCACTACATAATGCATATTTCTAAGCCCGATTTACTCACTACGGAAAGCTCTAATGTTACCTTATTGACAGCGAATATTTGCACTTCGTCGTTTTTAATTATTACAAGTAAGCTTAAAAAGATTTTCGCCTTTTTGATGTCCGGTAGGACTGATACATTCACCGAGCTTCTAGTGTCATATAATGCTGAATGGAAGCAGATAAAATGTAATGTGATTCAGACTTTATTTATGAACATTTGTAAAAAAAAATACGAACTAAAACTGTAATACAGTCAAGGGCAATAGCTCTAACAAAACTGAAAAGAAGTTATCCACAATCAAAAATCTTGTGATGTTGATCATTATTCCTACTTAGTTGGTTGATTCTAACTCAAGCACTCAAGGCACACATAACACAACATAATGGAACGTTTTTTCTCAAGTCAAGGGCAATTATTCCTCAAATTACTCCTCAAATAAATCCACAATTAAACTCCCCTGTTGCTACACATGCCAACCAACATTTCTGTAAAGTTTCATGACTTTAGGTCAAATAATGTTTTACCTAAACATGAGCCAAGTTGAAAATTATTATTTGTTACTACAATGGCAATAACTTAAAAAATACTGGATAAATCCACAAGCAAAGCCCTAGGTGCACAACTACATATACTGATCAACATTCCTGTAAAGGTTCATGACTCTAGGCTAGTTACATTTGAGCTACGTACTACACAATGTGAAAATTGAAAAATTTTCCTAAGTCAAAGGCAATTACTCTGACAGAACAGAACAAATTCACAAGCGAAACCCCTCAGGTGCACAACTTGACATGCTAAGCAACATTATTGTTAAGTTTCATGACTCTATGTCAAATACTTTTACACAAGTTGAAAATTGCAAATTTTTACCATTTCAAGTGCAATAACTCAACAAGTACTGAATAAATCCACACGTAAATATCCAGGTGTACAACTATACATGCTGACTAACATTCCCGTGAAGTTTCATGACTCTAGGTCAAATACTCTTTGAGCTACGTGCGACACAACATTAGAACGGACGGACGAACGCACGCACGGACAAGGGTAAATCTTAATGCCCCATCCCCTTACAGTGGGGCAAAAATGCATTTATCCAATTTTATCTGCTTATTTCAGTATAATGAATACAATTAGTTTGGTGAATATCTAGGGTATAACAAGATTACATTATTTATTTTAATATACTTGCCAGTAATTGTTGAGTTTTATTCATGTGCTATCATCCATATCCTCGACAGTATATTACCCACACAGCTAGTGATTTAGCTCTACCAACATATTTTGTGTATAATTTAACCTTTCATTCCGTTAATTTGTAAATTTACATAAACGTTAATTTTTGCTATGCGTTTATAACATATACTCGATCCAAATCTCATTATTTTTCTAAAAATGTTTGACTTCATCTTCTTAACGTGCTTCTTTTTCCCTCGCTACAGTGAAAACAGCCGAAAAAATGCTCTTATTAACATATCAGACATAGCACCAATATAACGGCTTGCCAGGACCCGTAATCTTATAACAAAATAGTATTATAATCGACAAAAATTATTATGCAATGAAACTAGTAAAAATAATATACATTGCAATTACAATATTAAAAACACATACTTGTACAGGACCCAGCCGGGTCGGACCATGTTGAATCTTCTTGACAAATAACAGTTACGTCCCCTGACGCAGTATAACCCTCAACACATTGAAGTGTCTCTACTTTGCCCACTGGCCGCGCACCACTTAAGGCACGAGCATGTTCAACACCTGTGTTAGCTGCACATGCAAGTGCTTCTGAAAAAGGACAGGCAAATTAGGTACAATGATATTACCCGTCGAAGAGATATATTATTGTTATGAATTGAACGGATTCTCAATGACATCTTTGCAGTTTATGAAGTTTAACTTTATTATCTTTAATACTGCTTAATGTCTATAAAAATATTTGATAAAAGTATAACAAAGGGCCGTAAATCAAATGCTATCAAGTCAAATGTAGATTAAGTGTTTCTATGAACTGTATCACTCTTTAATGACATTTCAATGCTGATACAAATACTTAACCCCTTAAAAAAGAAAAAGGAATAAAAATTAAAGGGGCAAATTTTCAATTATGCTAAACAGAATTATTGTCCTTGGAAAAAGTGCAATTTTCCATAATGACATCTATCAATGAATTAAGTCTTATACTTCTGAACAAGGGCAAAAGGTAAAAAAATAACTTAAAAGAGAGTTATTGTTCTAAATAAATCTACTTTTAATTAACATGGGCGTCCGTGGCCGAGTGGTTAAGGTCGTTGACTTCAAACCACTTGTCCCTCACCGCTGTGGGTTCAAATCCCTACAGGTACTTTAGATTATTCTTTCATGTGAGGAAGCTATCCAGTTAGCTTACGGAACGTCGGTGGTTCTACTCGGGTGCCCATTTGTGTCTGAAATAATGCACGGAAGGGCACCTGAGGTCTTCCTCCACCAGTAAAGCTAGAATGTCGCCTATGACCTATAATGTGTCGGTGTAACGTAAAACCAAATTAAACAAACAAAAGCTTCTAATTAATGAGATAATTAAATTGATATCTCAACTACTTTTTTATATAGTTTATCCTTGACTGAAATAAATTAAAGGCAAAAACTCCAAAAGTATGCAAATGATAGCCGACTTTTAGTTCTTATACACTGCGATCAAGTAATTGATGAAGTTTTAAGATAATACCGTTCCTGCATTACATTTTAGTTATGCCAAATATAAAAATAAAATATGAAACATTACAAAGGGCAATAACTCCATTTTTTCAAAAGCCCAACAAAGCACTTCTTTTAAATGACATGTAAACATTAAGTTTTTTTTAATTTAAGGTTTTAAACCGTACTATTTAAAGTTATATGCTTTAGTCAATTCCGTGACAGACAATTTCGTGACGAACACTGGACAGACGGAATGACTGAATGACGAACAGCCGGTCGGACAAGGCCAAATTTATACCCTTCCGTCTTCGATGAGGGATAATAAAACAGTGATGCAACACAGTAACAAATTCATTCCCAGAATGCTGAGCTACAAACACACCATGTTCAACGGTCAATTACAATGATGTGTACAATAAAAAAATCAGCTGACAATGGAAACTTTAAAAAATATGCAATCATGCAGGCTTTTAGGCATAAGATATCGAGTTAAAGCAAACAAAAAATATAGAAATAAAAACTATCCTCCTTATCACTCAAGAAAGTTCAAAAACGTTTTTGTTTGCTGTATGAAATCTTGTCATTACCAGGAGCGAGAAAACACTCTGTTAACCGAATTACGCTCTATGATATATGATTTATTCATTACTTGTATTGGCTGTATTCACTGTATGGAATTTTATTAATTACCTGAAGCAGATGTACACGCTGTGTGATATCTATTCATTACACGGGACAAGTGTTTACCCTGGATAGTATTTTTTCTATAACCCGGAACGCGTGTACACTGTTTATGATATTTTATCAATTACCTAGAACAGGTGTACACAGTGTACGCTGTTAGACGTTGGTATGGCACCAACAAAACTTTGGAAGAAGAGAAAATTTTTCGAGAACAGTGAAGTCAAAAATGAATATAAAGGCATGACATGTATATATCGAATAAGGTCATCACATACAATGAAAAGTAAAAACTCTTTCAGGACCCCTGGCACTATAGGTTTAGCAAGTCAGTGTTTGCAACAAATTTGGTAAAATACAAAAAAACTTAAAATAAAAAGGTTGCTTCACACACAACACCTGTATGTTGGGATTATACACATTTTGGGGGAAAAAATCAAAAAAACATTTCAATGAAGTAAAATAGCTTATCGGTAGCCGACTTCATAAGATTCAATTGATCAGCATTTGTAATTAAGATGACACAAAAGTTCACAAATATAATTAACGTAGAGCAAAGCAGTTGCACTAAATATGTTTCATTCAGTCTGATATAAACACTTTAATAAGAACACATTTTCTGTGCTAACAAAATATTTAATATACTACTTAACACAGAAATCAGAGTATATTAATTTTTAACTTAGATATTTAGATCCCTAAAACGTTGAATGGACTGTTTTAAACATCAAGTGCATTATTAAAATCCAACAGTCTCTGGTAGGGCCTAATGTAAGACGTTGGCATGTCACCCCTAAAATAACGCAGACAAAACTTTTGAAGAAGAGAAAATTTTTGGGAACAGTGAAATCAAAAACGAATAAAAAGGCATGACGTGTGTTGATCATAGTCAATGTAAAGTAAAAACACTTGGCCCCCTGGCATTGGTTTTAGCAAGTCAGTGTTTGCAAGTAACCAGCTACAATAAACTTAAGATGAAAAGGGTTGCTTAACACACAACACCTGTTGTGTACACATTTTAGAGAGAAAAAACTACAACAAAACAATCCAATGAAGTGAATAGTAAGGAGAAATAGCTTTTTCAGTAGCCTACTTCATTAAATCATTCCATTGTTCAGCATTTTGTATTTAGACGATACAAAAGACTACAAATATAAATAACTTAAAACAAACCTTTTCTGTGCTAGCAAAATAAACTGTTCCAATTATAAAGCATGGCAAGTACATTGTTAAAATTCAGCATGAAATATATTACATACGTTCACACTGTGGCGGCTGGTTAGACCATCTCCCGGATGATGTACACTCCGAGACAAAGCGACATTTTGCTTCGTACCCTTTCTCGCACATATATGTTACTGCACTTTGATATGTGAAACTTAGTCATTCATGAAAAAAAGCATACATACTGAGATATTTTTGAATAAGTTTGACTACAATAACGCAAGTTGCTAGTTCAGTAGAATGATGCTCCTTAAGGGTAAATAAATGGAAAAAAATCTTAATATATGCTTTTCTTTAATTGACTGGAAAGCACTTACGAGATTTAAAAAAAAAGTATAATGCAAATGACTAAAACAATACAATGTAATTATTATTTGCATACCTCCAACTGTTTTAATGTTATAACAAGAGCCACCGCCGGAGGGGCAACGCTCGACTTTTTACTTTCTCTTAAAGCAAACAAAGAAATGTTTGAACAAAATCTTAACGTTTCCTTTTTATAAAATTAATCGGTCTGTCTTGTCACATTAGTTTTGTCTATATATTTTGTATATATAAATATACTAATTTATATATATATGGAGACACGTGAAGTCGAATCACGTTGTGAAGTCACGTGGTAGTCACGTGGTGAAGTCACGTGGTAGAGTCACGTGGTGGAGAAGTGATAAACAACAAGGTCTTGTCCTTAAGTATGTTCTGTTATAATATGAAGTTGATCCCTTCAATAATAGCAAAGTTACAGCTAAAACAATGAAAATTTCAATAATTTGAACTTCAAAGTCAATGTCATTAATGAGTGAAGATCAAGGTCTGTCGGGTTATTTTTAAGGGTTATCCTTGAAGATTATCATGTTCAAGTTTGAAGAAAATCCATTCAAAAATAACAAAGTTACAGCCAATAATAGCCAAAAACATGAAAATTTCAATAATTTGACCTTCAAAGTCAAGGTCATTTATGAGTAAAAGTCAAGGTATGTTGGGTTATTTTTAAGGGATATCCTTGAAGATTATTATGTTCAAGTTTGAAGACAATCCATTCAAAAATAACAAAGTTACAGCCAATTACAGCATGAACAAGCAAAATATGGACTTTTAACCTTGAAGGTCAAGGTCATTTATGGATGAAGGTCAAGGTTAGTGTGGTCTACTGAAAGGTCTTGTCTCAAGGGTTGTTGTGGCCAAGTATGAAGACAATACACCAAGAAATAAAAAAGTAATGATCCAGGTACAAGTTTGCGGACGGCAACGGCAACGCCGCCGCGACTAAACCAATACCTCTACTTTTTTTTTTTTTCAAAAAAAAAGTCGAGCTTAAAAGTGTAAATATGGATTGTAATAAGTCGGATACCTGTCTCCACTGACTACCACGTGGTTGCCAAATGGTGGTGCACCACAATTTAGTAACTCGCATGTAGGAAGCTTTCCTTCCCAATGCCCTGAGATGCCACAAACTAACGAACTCTGTCCAGATAATGTGTAACCTTCGTCACAGAAATAATCCGCTGTCGATTCGTACAAAGTTCCGACAAATTTCCTGCCGCCGTTTGGCATTTGTGGGGGATCGTAGCAATTACGACGTAAGCATGCTGTCTCGCCTCCGTCATACTGCCATTGCTTATTTGCCATACACCTTGCTGTTGCACTTCCGGTTAAGTAAAATCCGTCATTACACGTGAACGTAACTTCCCTATAAACATAAGCTCCCATTGGCATACTTGTGGAAGAATGAGGAAACACTGGTGGTGGACCGCATGTCACAGCATGACACTCCGGTCTATCGCCTATCCATGCCCCTGTGTATGAACAAGTCAGCGTTGGATTTCCGGAGATTTCAAAATTTGGGAAGCATTCGTATGTTACGGTGGATTTATAGAAATGGTAATTACCGATGTAAATAGCGTTGTCAATAGGAGGCGGGGTCCCGCATGATTTTGGCTCACAGACGGGAGTTTTGCCCGACCATACACCAGTAGCTTGGCATGAAGTCGTCCCTTGGCCGATAAGAGTGAAGCCTACATCACAAGTGTATTGAATAACACTTTTGTATGTGTAATTTTTTGAATCAATTTTAATTGAGTTTGGAACATACGGTGGCGGACCGCAGTCTATCGGTACACATTCAGGTGTCGCCTCAAGCCAGTTTCCATTCTTTTCACAAGTTATTATTGATGAACCTTTTACCCTGTATCCAAGGTCACACAAATACTGAGCCTCGCCTTTAAATTTGTACGACGCAACAGAAACTTTGCTGTTTGGGACTTTCATTGGTTCCTCGCATTGCACCAACGAGCATGTCGGTATAAAACCTTCCCATGTACCAGATGCAGAACACGTTAATGAACTGTCTCCAGTCGACAATTCATATCCAGTTTTACAAACGTAACTTGCTTTAGAATTAAATAAATATTGTGTTAGGGCATGAAAAGGAATTGCATGCTCAACAAACGGTGGCACTGCACATAAAATCAATCTACAATAGGGATCAGAGCCACTCCATGAGCCATCTTTCTCGCATGTCCTTTGGCCCGGCCCTTGAAGTCTATAGCCGTCATTACATCTGTACGTCACAATTGATCCAATTCCTGACCCTGTTTCACTGGTCAATCCATTTGTTATTTTCGGTAAGTCAGGACACCCTGATATCTCACAGTGTGGCGGCTCACTTTCATAATCCCAGTCGCCATTAGGACCGCACCTTGGTCTTGCTTTTCCGACTAAATAAAATCCTTCGTTGCACTGGATTTCGAGTTCATTTCCAAACTGAAACCCATTGCCTATAGCTCTGCCATTACGAACATCCGGAAATGCAGGACATGTGACAATTTCACAGACAAAATTAGATTCAGACCATTGGCCATTAGCTTGGCACCGTTGAGAACTCACACCAATACCGCGATAACCTTCCTCACATGATAGTGAGGCTGTGGCTTCGAAACTCCCTTCTTTTTCCCCGCCTGGTATGTCATATACAACATTGAGCTTAATAGGTGGGGGACCACATGTTATTTTTATACAAGTCGCATCAGCTCCGCCCCATCGACCATTAGAGAGGCACTTGCGTTGTGCTTGTCCCACAATTTCATAGCCAGTGTTACATTGATATTCAATAATGTCTTCATAAAAGAACTCATTCCCGCTGAAGAACCCATTATCTATGGGCGGTGGATTAGCACATTTAACTTTCTGACAGTACGGATCACTCCCTGACCACTCATGTGTCCCTAAACACAAACGAACACCTATGCCAACGAGCTCGTACCCTTCGTTACATGTGTAAATTATATTACTGCCTTGTGAATAACTCGATGCAAAGTAACGCCCATTTTGTAAAGGCGGCGGCCTTGGACATTCGTTTCTTAAACATTCCGGTTCTTTTCCGGACCATTCGCCACTTTCCGTACATATTCTAGTGCTTGGTCCATCGAGAACATAGCCGGCATTACATAGATAGTCAAGTTGGTTACCATAGGTGTAATCAGTGCCACTTACAATAACGTTTCTATTAGGCTCAGGTCTCGGACATATGATAAAGAGACAGGTTGGTGACGAACCTGACCAAGACCCGTCAGCCTGGCATTGTCGCTCTGTATTTCCGGTTATTCTATAACCTTCGTCGCACTGGAAACTTACTGTTGCCCCGAACGAGAAATCTGTACCAACTAGCTGAGAATTTGCTGGAACAAACGGTGGAAAGCACGTTTTCTTGTCACAAAATGGCATCACGCCGCTCCAAGATCCGTCATAGAGACAATCTAACTTGCGCTCTCCAACCAAGGAATATCCCGGATTACATTCAAATATTATACTAGAACCGTATGTTAGTTGATCGAAGGTCATCACACCATTTTGGAATCCCCCCGATGTTATATCTTGGCATTGTACACCGCCACATGTTGGTGCTGTTAAACTCCATGTGTCATCACTCTGACATTCTCGAACGTTCGGTCCAGTCATCGTGTATCCCTCTAGACATATGTAAGTAGCCGTCCCCCCACGAACTAAAACCTGACCATTCACCGGAGTATCGAGCCTCGGACAGGCGTACTTTATACAGACAGTCTGTTCCCCGCTCCACGAACCATCCTGTTGGCACGTTCGATTAGATGCACCTTGAAGTCTATAACCAGAACGACACGTGACTGCAACTGTGGTGCCAAATTCGGTTTGAAAACCTGCATCAATGAAAAATAAAATATATAGCTCAGCATCAATATTTCCTGTTAATCTAAATTGTGCTAACTTTAAAGTATTTCTAAATAATCTAACGTACCATTCTTAAACATAAGTCTGCTGGAAGCAACTGATTCTATCCCTGCGGCAAGCGTAGACAAAGGTCACCCTTAACATGGTCTGATCTATTCAGTCAAACTAAATATTTTGTAATTTTCCTTAAAAATGCGAAATGGTTTTGTACAGATACAATGACCGACAAGTCACTTTCAGATATCTAGCATGAGAGGGCTACACTATTATTCAATTTTAACATGTTTGATTAGGTCTCCTTGTAATCAGACTTCTATTCTAAAGTGGAATCTGTTTTGTACATCTGCAAATGTCTCTAAATTCAAATCTCACCATTTTCATGTTTAAATATTGAATTTTGCTTCAGGGTCAATCAAACCGAGTCTGCAACATTTCTTGAGGGATTCTTATTTTCTCTATTGTAGGTATGGGGAAAAGGTTTTTCTTTTTTTTTCCGAACTTCAGATGTTTCAACTTTCATCAACTAAACATTTACACATTTACAGAAATTGGAAAAGGGAAACGTAGCAAATTACAAAATAATTTGTTTTCATCGACAATGATCTTTTGTTATAGAAGTATTTACTGAAAACCTATGAATAATTATATTACGTAATGAAAATGAAATGAAATGAATTAACGCCTTAACCTTGTACTTTAAATGATATAAAAAGGGGTCAAGGACAGAAAAGGCCGGGTTGCATTTGTATACCAAATATCATGAGGTTGTGATGTTACAAAAAATGTTCACCATTGACCATTAATGTTTAAAATTTAGCTAAGTTGGTAAACAGGAAGTGGATTTACAATAGACCTGAAATCGAATCCCATGGTATGGGACAACTAGTTAATGCTGTTCGCCAAATATCAAGAGACTGTGATCAGTAGTTGCTGAGAAAACTGTTACGAAAATTTCCTATCATTGACCATTAATTTCAAAATTTTAACTAAGTCGGTAAACAGGAAATGGATGAGCGTTATAACTGAAATCAAATCTCACTGTATAAGACCACTAGTTAATGTCGAAAATTTAACTAAGTCGGTTAATAGGAAGTGAATAAGCAACAGATCTGAAAATGAATCCCAAAGTATGGGACCACTAGTTAATGCTGTATGCTAAATATAAAGTGACTGTGATAAGTAGTTGCCGAGAAAAATGTTACGAAAATTTCCTACCATTGACCAGTAATGTCGAAAATTTAAGTCGATAAACAGGAAGTGGATTGCAACAGACCTTAAATCAAATCCCACAGTATGGGACAACGTGTTAATTTTGTATGCCAAACATCAAGAGACTGTAATAAGTAGTTGCTGAGAATACTTTTACGAAAATTTCCTATCATTGGCCATTAATGTCGAAAATTTAACTAAGTCGGTCAACAGGAAGTTGATGAGCGACATACATGAAATGGAATCCCACAGTATGGGACTATGTTGCAATGCTGTATGCTTAATATCAATCGGCTGTGATAAGTAGTTGCTGAGAAAACTGTTACGAAAAATTTTCACCGCCCACCCACCCGCTGCCCATCATTCACCATACTATAACCCGGGTTTGCACATGTGCAACCCGGCAAAAAATTGAAATGTGCTTACCGTTGGTCAATATTTTAGTTCGTATTTTAATTGAATATTTTCCATCATTACGAAGAGTATATATGATGCAATATAAAATAACATCACATGTTGGAAATTCTAATCGGTTTTCGTTTCAAGTTACATGATATTTTCATTAAATCGAGTTAATATTGAGTTTGTCAAAAGTACTTAATGGGCACATGCTTTTTGTAGTAATTCTTGCTAATAACCTACTTACTTGACGTAAACCCATTCCGGATATTAAGTCTCGGGCATTCAACGGCTGTGCATACGGGTATTGGTCTATTCCATTCACCGGAAGCAAGACACGTTCTGTTGTTTGATAATCCATCTATGTAGTAACCCGGGTCACACTCATAAGAAATTACTGATCCATAAGTAAACACTTCCCCTAACATACGTCCATTCGATATAATGTGGGATGGTTTGTCACATTGAACAATTTCACAAGAAGGAACTTCACCACTCCATCTTTTTTCTTTAGTACATGAACGAGTTCTGTCACCACCAAGTATATATCCAGTATTACAGCTGTATTGCACAGACGCTTGAAATAAGGTGTTCTCATATTCAATTATGCCGTTATCAATGCTGTCTGGTACCCCACAATTAACCGGTGAACACACAGGTTCTTCACCTTCCCACGTTAAATTTGCTAAGCAGCGACGTACCTCAAGGCCAGACAATTCGTGTCCTTCATTACACCTGTATCTAATAACTGAACCTAATTTCAAGTCCTTGTAATCCAACCGGCCATTTATGACGAATGGTGGCGCCACACATTCAATAGCCTGACAAGTCGGTGCCACCCCAGACCAGGTCGAATCTGACTGACAAGTCAAACTTGCCTCCCCTTGAAGCTCATAACCTTCATTACAAATATATCTTACAAAACTTCCGAATTCAAGATTAACACTCGAAACAACGGCATTGCCATATTGAATAGGCAATGGCTGGGGACATTTTACTACAAAACATTCAGGCAAATTTGCTTCCCATGATCCAGTCTCTAAGCATTCGATTTCTCCACGAGGGTTCAAACTGTTTATAGATAATTCATAGCCAGCATTACATTGATATGTCACCCTGTCGCCAATATTGAAAGTTTCAAGCGCTTGTGGATTGGAATAAATCGCGTTATTCACTCTAGGCGGACTGTAACATACAATACGAGTACATGTTGGTGGAGCTTGAGACCATTGTTTACTTCCTAAGCACAGAAGCGTAGCTTCCCCTTCCATAGTAAAGCCATTTTCACAGGAATATGTAACAGTATCTTGGAAAAAGAACGAGTTTCCCGTGTAGAACCCGTTGTCAACTGAAGGTGGTGTAGGACATTTTATTTTATTGCAAACCGGCGATTGATTTTGCCACTTCCCAGTTTCGCGACAAATTCTTTCCTCGGGTCCGTCTAATTCGTACCCAGCATCGCAAACATAACGAATAACGCTGTTTAACGTATAGTCCCTGCCTTTCCACTGTCCATTTTCTATGATTTCTGGTTTGCCACATGACACCGGTTTACACGCAGGAGCTGTGCCACTCCAGAATGTATCTGCCTGACATTGTCGTTGCTCATCCCCGCTAGTAAGTACATATCCTAGATCACATTTATAGCTAACAGTTTTTTTGTATGTAAATACGTCGCCTTCGAAATGTCCGTGCAGTATATCATCGGGCTGTCCGCATTGCACAGGAATGCATTCAGGTGCTGCAATACTCCAGTCTCCAAGTTCGAAACACTCCAAGACATCCGTGTGTGAAAGGTCATACCCTTGATCACAACTGTAGCGTACCTGCGATAGGAATGTGTTTCCGCTTTTCTGATATTGACCATGTGGTATGTCGATTGGATCCCGGCACGTCACAACCACGCATTCCGGAAGATTGGCTTCCCATGTCCCTGTTGCAAGGCAGTTAACTTTACCTGTTGGGTTCAGACTGTTTTGCGAAAACATATATCCGAACGTGCATTTATATTGTGCCGTAAAGGCAACGGGAAACTCTTCTAGTTTTGCATCATTAGAAAATAATCCATTTTCTATTTTCGGCGGGGGTCCACATTTCTGCGGATCACAAGTCGGTATACTCATATCAAATGTTCCATCGTCTTGGCAATAGACAGATGTGTGTTCAGTGAAGAACTCATTTCCTTCTTTACACTCAAAAAACACGTCTGTGTCAGGAGGGTATTTGTTATCTTCTGTAGGATTTGTCACGAGTGTGTTTTCGGACAGCACCGGAATTTTGCACTTTATTTCTGGAAAGCAAAACGATTAGTATGGTTTGTATTTAAAATCTTATATCTTCTAGTTTCTTTAAGGATCTAACACTAAGCAAGGTCCTAATAAAAGAACGAGTCAGCCACGCAAGCGATAAAAACAAGCACGAAAGCTCGAACATATTGGATTGTACTGGCTGAACTCTACATTTGTTTGAATAACGTAACAAGGTTATATGGCCTTAAATAAAATAACATAGCATCATATAACACTATTACATATTAGAATAATGCAAATGAATTCATAGAATTTTGATTGGCAAGCAAGCTTTGTATATTGTGCCATATACATCATAAAGAACGGAAACACACGAATAATAAAAGTTTTCAGCATCGTAGACTGGTAACAATGCGGTCGCTAACAAAATAAAGTGGCCATCCAAGTGTAAATTATCAGTGAACAGGCAAAAGTTAAAATAATTAATTGGAATCAATTTTATATTTTACTAGACAAAAAGTATTTAATACCTCGCCTGTCCAGTGTACATTTCTATAAATATCGCTCAGAATGTAACGTTCAATTCTTAATAAGACTGGTGCAGTCTCTTTATAATTTAGGTTGTTTTTATATTCATCATAAACATTTTTCATTATAATTATTGGTAAATCAACATTATAATAGTCAACATTTTGAAGTATACTATATTGCTAATTCAACCCAACTTGACAGCGAAAGAATGAGCATAATGTCACTTTATTGTGTTTGTAAACCACATTGATGGCTTTGTACAGTACCTAAATTAATTTGTTTGCGTTATTTTGTATCCTTTGTATTTAAAAACTTGTTGTCAACAGTAAGGTTTTGCACTTTCAAGTACCGTCCATGAACAGGCTCAATCAAACCGAGCCTGCAACATTTTCAATTTTGACGTGTTGGACTTTCTTTAGGGATTCGGTTTTTCTTTATTTTTTGCATTATTATAAATTCCATATGCAAAATTCTGAAGGGATAGGCGGGGTAAAATAACATGGATAAAATAAACATTTTGATCTCGTTTTTTTTTTTTTTTTTTTTTTTTTTTGTTTTTTTTTTTTTTTTTTTTTTGTTTTTTTTTTCGAGTGTACTAATATGCAACTTTCTATACTAAAGAAAACATCTCTGGCCAGTATACCGATTTAAAAATATGAAAACAATTGTACTCACGTTCGCAAACGGGAATATCGCCTTCCCAGAAGCCAAATTCCCCGCAATATCTTGTGGAAGGACCAATCAATTCGTATCCTCTTTCACACTTGTAACGGACCCGATTATCATATGTAAAACGCTCACCCTCGGTCCAGCCGTGTAAGATCCCTCCGGGATGTCCACACTGTACGGCTAAGTTTTTAAATAAACAGTCATTATAGATTTGTAGTTTTTTTAATCTGCTACTGGTATTAGATAAGAATGAGAATAACTATTTGCATTATGTTTCAGTATGAATTTTAGATTTTTGGGGTTGTTTTCGGAGGGTTTTGCCCGCTCCCATGAAATTATTCCCTGCTTTGTTGGAACAATAAATTTAACATTGAACAATAAACATAATAAACTAATTTTAAGTTTTAAGTGAACAAATAAAAATGGTGTAATATTAAGTAATATGGTCAGTGTAATGCATCTTGGGTAAAAGTCTTGTTTACTCCCCGAATAAATTTTAAAATTCATGCGCTACCGATGCCATTAAGTAACATTGTTACCGATTTACTTTGATAACTGATAACCAGATCAATTTGATAAACACCAGCTTCAAATATTTAGTCCGATTGTAAACCATACCTGCACATACTGGCACATTACCCTCCCATTCTCCAGTAATGATACAAAGTCTTGTCCTGCGACCAGCTAAGTCGTATCCTTTTTTACAGCTATACGAGGCCTCTGATCCTGCTGTCAAACCGGTGTAGGTAACATTGCCATGGCTGATATCATCTAGTTTCGGACAGGCTGTAATTTTAAACGTAAATGTGTTAAAATGCAGTAGAAATAAGTTCCATAAATATGTCTGTTAGCAGTTTTAAAGAGAGTTAAAAGGAAATAACTTCATGAGGTGAAGCAAAATAGTTCCCATAGCATAGTTACAACCATTTTACTGGGTACAAGAAAAAAGCACAATTGCTAGCTGCCAATGTTATAAGACAACGTGTAGTACTATCACGGCCATGTATTGTTTTGTATGAAAATTATTTACATGTACAAATAAGAAGTTAAAGTGCTGAAGACAAATTGTCTAATACATATGCATTTAATACGTATATGCATTTAAACAGTAAAATTTTCGTGGTGAAAATAATTATGTAATGTCAGTGTTGTTAAAATAGTTTGATTATCCCTTTACTTCATATAGACGTGTTTTGACGGCTTTTCGACCCCCCGCCCTTTTGAGGCCCCAAACAGTGAAAAAATACCCTATTTAGGCCTAAAACACACTGTTTTTCATTTGGGAAATGTTGCTGAAAAAGTGATTACTTTTCCGGCGCCGTCCCCTATCAAAAAGGTACATCAGGGGGTTGCCAGAAGGGGGATAAGCCCCCTTCTGTTTAGGAGGGATTGAAGGGGGCGGTAGTCCCATTCATCGCCAAGAAAATTTTGGACTTGTTAGAGGCTAAAAATAACCCCAGGTCGATCATAAGGTAATGTGTAACCAACGCTGAAAAGCCTTTGGCTCTATCTCAATCCATTGAGAAGTTGTAGCACTTTAAAATCAATTTTGAGGCAAACTAGTGCTTTTTGGCAATTACGAGATGTCCCCTCGTTGCCATGGTAACAGGAGAAATTTAAGACTGAGCATGTCGTTACAAAGGCAATGGTTCAGTCAACATTTTGCCAAGTTTAAAGCAGTTTTCATAGTTTCATAGCAGTTTGAACTTTAACAGGAGGCTTTTCAATGAAAACGGCCATTTTTCACAATATGCTCATGAGGGCAAGGGTTATTAAGGGAGGTAATTGCAGAAAAATAAGCAAGGTAGAATTATGGTTCTTGGACATCGCACTACATTTCACTGGTCCAAGTTTTAATCCATTCCCTGTTATTCTCCGGATAAGAGAATGGCAGACGAAATAACATAAAGACAGACGAACGGACAAGGGGGTGTCTATTTAAATAGATATTGACTTATATACATCTACATATTTTATAAGCCGTATTTTAATAATGTATTTCCATATTTGCATTTAAAAAAAATGAATTCTATAAATTATACATACCTTATCTGAGCTAAAAGCGTGTTGGTAGTTAAAGTTGTATGTCGGTAGTTTAGGCTGTAAGCGTTTACATAGTTAAAGCTGTAAAAGTTTTTTGTAGTTTAAGCTGCAAGCGTTTTGATTTTCCATCACAAGTAGCTGATACAAAAGCAGTGACTGATATACTGATCAACCGAATGTACGATTCTGTATAAAACATGCATAGCACGTGCGCATTTGAATATAAATGACTACAACATAAAATCAAACATAAAAAGCAGATATTTAAATAATTTTATTGGTCGAAGAAATATACAACAAACACCATATTCGATAACAAGAGCTGTCGGAGGACAACAATGCTCGACTTTTCGATAGGTTGTCACAATGAAGTTTCATTGAGTATAAAAAGGGGCATAATATGTATATAAGTAAATCAGAGTTACGGGACCTGTGCCAATCATGTTAAAAAAAATCACAGTGAAAATGAATGTTAAGTTCCATTCCATTCTCTTCAGTAGTTTGGGAGATACCAGCTTACAAGCAAAATGTTAAGCATGAGTTTCATTGAGTATAAAAAGGGGCATAAATTTGGAAATAAGCAAATAAGAGTTGTCCGATGACAGCATGCTCGACAATTAGAACAGTTATCAAAATAATGGCATTGGACTAATGATTGAATACAGGTCTACCTTTTGACAGATCAGTACTCTACCTGTGCGCTAGCCCGGCTGGTTAAGTGGTATTGCATTTTACATTTATCAGAAAATTATTATGACCATGACTTTTGAAAAGAAGTTTGAAGTACTGCAAGTGAAAATTGAAATATTTATTTAAAAAGATGCAGTTATATATGAAACAACTGGTACCTTTTATTAGTTTTTATGAATATAAAAAAAGGAAGATGCCCTCCTAAGTTTTAGTTACCAATAAAAATCTGAATATCATAAAAGCAAATAAATATTTGAACAAAGCAAAAACACTTTTGAACAAAGTACACTTTCGGTCAAATTGCAATGTGTAAAGGTGTCTTAATAAAGATGTGAATAATTATGATAGCAAAAGTGCTTGTAAACACAATATTACACATTAATTATAAAAAGGCCTCTACCTGTGAACAAAAATATGTAAAAAGATTAAAGATTATCAGGAACCCTTATTTTTATTTATAAAAATATATGCAACAAATTCCTTTTAAAATCAAGAAACAAGTCAGCAGTTTTGTAATGGATGTGTTGGAGTTTGAATGGACAGTCATGTTAGAAAAGGAAATGTATTGAGAGAAAAATTCCTTTGGAAATGATAATGATTGTTCTGTAATAATTATTGCACCTTAATGTTGATCTAAATATAAAGTTCAAAAGGGAGAAAAAATAGCCTAAATGCAAGATAGAATTATGAATCTTGGTCAGTGACCTACAATTATGACCCTAAATGCATATGTGAAGTTTTAAATAAATATCTTTGATAGTTATTGAGATATGTAAAACGTGCATGTAAACATTTACCAAGAGACTAAGTAGAAAAGGGGAGAGATATCACCCTAAATGCAAGATACAGTTATGGAACTTGGTCAGTGACATACAATTATGACTCTTCATGCATATGTTAAGTTTCAAATCAAAATCTCTGATAGGTATTGAGATATGTAAAACTTACATGTAAACATTAACCAAGAGACCAAGTATAAAAGGGGGAGATAAATCAGCCTAAATACATGACACAGATATGAGTGCTGTTCAGTGATCATTATTTACGACCACAGATATACATATGAAGTGTCAAGTTTATCTTTAATAGTTTCAGAGATATGCTAAACTTGCATGTAAAACTGAACCCCGAAAAGGAGATATTTTTAGTACAAAAGGGAGCATAATTCAGGCAAAATACATGACAGAGTAATGTGACCTTCAATTTTGACCCTAAGTACATGTGTAAAGTTTCAAGTAAATATCCTTGATAGTTCTTAAGACCTTTAACCTTTAACCAAAATTTCTAAGTTTAAAAGGGGCATAATTCTGCAAATATTGCAGGCAGAGTTATGTAACTTTGCAAACTAATGTACATTGTGACAATAAAAAAGTATTGTAAATTTCAATTGAATATCTATCTCAAGCAATAATTGAGATATTTGACTTTACAAAAAACTTTAACCAACGCAGACGCCGGGGCCGACTGCAATAGCTCTCCATATTCTTCGAACAGTCGAGCTAAAAACGAAAAACAAGTTATTTATTATTGTTGAGTGTATTTTGTTTATAAAATTACATATAAAATTCACTATAATTATGTACTTCACAGTAGTTCTATACATTCTTTTTTCGTTAACATTTTTGAAAAGGATAAAAATGTGCGTTTGAAAGTAATTTGGTTATGTTACATCATTAAAACTTGTTTATTCTTTATTTACATAGGCAATGCAAAGCTCAGTCATAAATGAAATAGAAGTGGAAATTTTTAACCTTAAACAACAATTTTCAATTCAATTAAAACTTTAAACCTTAAACAACAGTCATATACAGATATGGAAGAGGTGTGATCCCTTGAAAGCATTATTCACAACAAAATAGCATGACACTTGTAGTTGTAGACTGTGTATGAGGGATAATGAAAAAGTGCAACATCCCTCACGCCGTCCAGCACCGGCTTGAGCCGTACTCAATTTTTAACACTCAAAGTGCTGGAATCAGTGATAAACATTTTGTAAAAAGTAGTTTTCATTTGTACCACATGCATATCAACATGTGTTTAAAATATATTTAATCTAAGTCTGTGGAACAAGTTGGGCTCAAAACAAAAAAAAAAACCTTGGTTAATTCTTTTGGCCATCAAAATAGATTGCAATACCTTGCATTGCATATATATACATCTTGAATTTAGGTTCAACAACTTGAAGTTAATAAAGAAATTCAAAAAGAATTAATCATTTATCTGTTAACGTGCTGGTTGAAAGAGATTCTACCCGTGCTACCAGTGTGGACCAAGCTCAACCTACACATCAATGCAGACTGATCATAGTCAGCAATATTTTGAAAACGAATGGTTTTGTCTAAATTGAGAGATGAACAAGTATGGTAAGCGATAAACAAAACTACCTCAAAAAGAGAATGTAACAAATTTACTTTCTACACAAGAGGAGTACAAAGATTAACAATTTATGGCGACATTCATAATAATATACAGCCGGACAGTAGAGCACCGAACAAAAATAAGCAGAAATAGAAAAGGTTCCATGAGAAAGAGAAACAACTTCAAACATTAAATAACATGACAATCTTACATGATTAAAATGTGAACCTAAAGAGTTGTTTATTAGCTATTGTCGCCACATGAGCAAAAACAACCATTAAAGTCTCATATAAACTGTATTTGTGTAGTGTAAAGAAAACATCAAAAGGTCACAATAAAAAATCAGCAAAGAATTTCAGCCATACATTATTATTGTATACATATCTCAATTCTTAATCGTCGATCATATATATAATCTATATACATTTTGAAAACAAGATAATACATAGTTTTATTTTATGCTTACTAATGAATTATAGAAATTTATCAATGATTTAAAATTGATAATCCACTGTTTCAAAACAGTGAAATTACCAAATTGAATTACCTCCCTTACTTTATTCCATTTATTATTTCCCTTTGATATTCATGATTTTTTTATATTATTTTAATATTTATCATTTATACAAATATATATGATATTAATTAATACTAAAATATCAACATACAATATAATTTTATTTAAAAAAAAAAAAAAAAAATCATCACATGCGATATATATATTACCTCCCTTTTATCACCGACTGCTATCATAATTTTACAATGGTGGATTTAGAAGAAATTGGAGATTTTGAATTTGAAGCATTTTTTAGACATCTTTTCGATGAAGAAGCACACTTTGAGGAGGTAACATCCCAAGAAATACAAAACGATGAGAAAAATTAAAATAAGCCAAATGAAAGAACATTCAGAACAGTAAATGTTGATCAATTTTTAGAAACTTCAGTCGACAAAAACACAAAAAAGAAAACAGACAGTGACATCAAATATTTTAACGCATTCCTACAGTCTAGAAATGAAATAAGAAAACCATACTAAAGCATGAATGAAAAAAAATAGAACATCAAATGTTTTCACATCTGTAATATAAGCTTAATTATACATCGTTCACACAGTTACATTGAAAAGCTTAAATATGGTTAAAACAAAAGCACAAAAAGCTTAAGCATTACAATTTATATATCAGCAATTATAGCTCAATCATACATTTGTGATAAGAAATATATGTATACATAAACCACGGCTTAATTTAATTGCAATTAATGTCGTGCATAAAACAAATCAGTCATAAATGTTAAGTACATAAAAAACTGCAATCATATGTATATCCTAAAAATCATCATAAAAAGCTCTAAACAGCGCATATATAAATCTTACATGCATTGACAATATACTCAAATAAAAAACAAAACAAATGCTAAAATCAAAAGTATTTAAAGCTAAAACATATATTAATTGAACCTCAAAAAGTGCTTGTGTAATTTTTTAGAAGCAAAATCACACGATACAGAAAAATAGATACAAGTTAAAACAGTGCTTATATAAAATCACCAAAATCTAAATCTTTATACATTATGGCATTTCCTTGTTGGAGCTAAAAGTGTGTTACCATCTTATTTTCGTTTTCATATATCTTATTTAATTATTGAGTTGAGTTTTTAACATAGCTATTTTAGCTCAATTAAGAAACACGTTCTTGCAACTGATATGAATCTTCTTTTTTTTTTGAATGTTGATTTCGCAATATTCTTCATTTCAGTTGTTGTTGTTGTTGGTATTGTTTTTTTTGTTTGTTTTTTTTACAACAGCAGAAATGATATGCATGTAAATGTTGTTGTTTTGGGTTTTTTTTAATGTTATCAACTTTTTCCTTTCTGTTGAATATTATTATAAAAACGTAAATTTGAAAGACTGGTCTTTTGTTTGTTTGTTTGTTTTTCAGTTAGCATTTTGACTGTTCTATATCTCTGACGTTATGTGTAATCAAGTGAAAAATCAATTGGTTAATAAAAGCAACAATAAAGCACTTAAACGTACATTGAATTTATGCAACAAATGTCATTTTATATATCCTAGAATGCTTAATAGTCACATGACATTGGAATGCACTTCCGGCGGCGTCGTTTATATCTTTTACCTTTACAAAACTCCACAGGTGTATCAGAGACGGCGCCTTTTGCTTTCCCGGATATATCCGCCCAGGCTATGACGTCACCCATTCCTGACGAACAATTTAGTCGAAGTGATTCAATATCTCTTAAAGACAGACTTCTACTCCACATGTTCAGCTGAGTAATTTGGCCAATAAACGCTTCGGGACTGGAAAACCCGCCACCTAGCGTATCTTGGTCCTGTCCAATGATGAACTGTCCGCCACCTTTGAAAGGAAACATTTCTTTTGAACTTTTGAACTTTACAGTTTGCTTTATTTAAAATCAGAATACAGAAGTGCAGCTGGGCTGGCTGTTTGCCACTTACTTTATCGCTATTATCTTCAACATTATCATGTATTTTAAAAACAATCCTATTTGTCTCATTATTATTGATATATACAAGATGCAATAGTGCCTAAAATGTTTTCAGCTATATCTCTATTCATAAATTTAAAGTTTGAATTTTGGAAAAAAATACTTCCTAAATATTTGTATGCAAGAAAAATGTATGTTTGTTCATGTAATAGCCAATGATGTATGCTCGAAATCATTTCTTAACGATTTATCCCTCACTTTAAAGAGCCAGTCCGTAACGCTTATCTGCTTCACGCTATAGAAGAAACTACATAAAACCTTTGATCGTTTGTCCATTCGACAGCCTTCTCCCACTGTCCATTGGAATTCCGTCCATGTAGAGCTTCCACTGACCTCGATTTGATTCCCACATGACGCAGACGTGATGCCAGTTCCCTGTGTTTGCTTTTGCCGTTGTGGTTCTTTTTTCACCATTCACATAAAATGCAAACCTTGAACAATGATATGAAAACTGTTTTAACTGGTGAATCAGGTATCCTTATATGCATTTAAATGGGAAATATTGTGTTATGTGCAGTCATTAGTCAATTTTAGCAAAAGTTTCCTCGGAAAAGCAATGAAAACAAATGCAAAAAGAAAATAGCTGAAAGTCGTGAACTCGGTTTTATCGTATATAAATGACAATTGAAAGTGCAGCATCTTTTACGTCCCCTCTCCGTAGCAGAGACTTCTAACCACCCCACCCCCTCTCTCCACAACAGGTTGAATAATTTTAAATCCTCAACTGGAAACATTGACCCAGCCGCATGTAGTACATTGTAATTCACATGCAAATGGGTATAATGTTGAAGAAAGGTAATTTTAATATAGAAAAGATTTGACCAATGAAACTTTTCCTTTCATATTAATTCTCGGTAAATGTCGTAAATATATTATATTATGAAAAGTACATAAACAGTCTATATTTCTATATTTAGATTTCTTACCCATCATAGTCAGTCAGGGTGAACATGTTGTCCCCATCTTCATTTGCATAAGAGAATGGTGTGCCTTGGTTTTGTTGGTCGTCTGTTTTCATCCAAAAGCAGACGGTTGCAGACGTTAAGTCTTGTTTCATGTCAACACGTGCGTAGTCCATGGTGCTGACAGTGACAGGAAAATCAAGTTGAAAGTTTGTATCGATGACTGTAAAACAAATTTTTACTCTGGTTCGGCAAATATTTTCACATTACTTTTTTCACTACAATGTATTAAGCTACTAATGTTTCCGTTTTTACTTTTGTAACTGTTTTGTGCTTGCTGTTTATTTTTCTTTGCAAAATAAAGGAAATAACTGTTTATAAATAGAGCTATGTACATGAACAATGCAGCATTTATAGGGCATATTTTCCTTTTTGAAATTACAAAGAAATCTAAACAACTTCTATTTTTCTTTTTTGTTTCGGTATCAAGAGAATACCTGAACTTTTCACATTCAATCTATTGGATTAGCCTCTGCAACCAATATAGGACCTGTATTTTGGTAGCTCATGTTTTCCTTCCCTAAGACTTTGAATAGACATTTCCAAATACACTGGTTACAGATGTGAAGGTTTCCTACTTAAGGATATTAAGATAACATGCTAACCTCATGGAGTAAAGACTGTGCAAATACAGGTTTAATAAAAAAACAGACCTGTAGAACAATCTGCACCAGTTTTTCCGCTTGGACAGTGACATTTATAACTACCAATCAAATCCTCGCATTTAGCTCCGGATGCACATGGATTGCTCGCACATTCGTCGATGTTTACGTCACACGCTTCTCCAGTAAAGCCATCTTTACACTCGCAGCTTCAATTTCAAAACAGTAAAATTCATATAAATTGCATTTTGCGCAATATCATTCAATTATATAAAAGGAATGCCAGTTTTGTTTTGTTTTATTGCCATAGTAATAAAAGACTTGAATAATAATGTGTTTTTTTAAATGAAATCATTATGTTTTAATTTTCATTTATGTTGTTACTGTACGTAAAGTACATGTTTATTTACAACAATTTAACACTAAATAATGTCGAATTAACATCTAAATGAACTTCTGTTTAAGTAATTGTATCAATCAATATATACGTTCAAAACATATTTTATCGTTTCATTTCAAATCTTTTATAGTTTAATATGGTCTTAAAAAATTGTTATTCAGAAAAAAAAATCTTAGTATATTATATTAGCCAATGTATATTTTTTTATGCGCAACATCAAAACCATGTGTTCTTTAAAAATGGAGACGATACATAAATGGATTTGATGTGATATATGCTGTGATAATCTAACTGATGCCTCTTTTTTTGCAATTTGATTAGTTAATTGTCAAATAAAATATTTTTCTTGTGCATAGTACATTAATCATGATTGACGGAACCGCATCCATAAACCCCATAATCATGAGCACTCAACTTTCAACAATATCATTATCGAATATAAGTGACTCAGTGATGAAAAGCAGCTTCCATAACTTGAAAAAAAAGTTGAATACATACTTAAACTTGCCGCTCGAATCCTTACATGCCCCGTCATTCTGACAAGGTCCACTAGCACAATCATCATCGTCAATCTCACATTGCTCTCCCCTGATTCCATCCGGGCATTTACACTCATATCCGGCCACCATATCGTTACATGTGCCGCCATTTAAACATGGCGCTGACTCGCATTCGTTTATATTAACTTCACACATAGGACCTACAAATTAGATTAACAATTGCAATATAGAAAATGCTAGTGTTTTCCAATTATGTAAAAAAAAGTTTGAATATGGAAGCAAAAATATTTTATTAATATATTTTATACATTTTTTACGATCATCGATAAATGACTAAATTCACTCTAATTCAGGAAAATGGACGCTTGAGTTCAAAAACCTTTGTAAATTAAATCCAATACTGCAATTAAATCTTGAAATATTCTTGAAATTTAATCACCATTACACTAACAGTGCCACGTTTATGAATAATAGATGAACAAAAAAAAAACATAATTTTCCTTCAAGAGATATAGAAATGATTGCTTGCATATCAGACAGGATTATCTACAGTTTACACCGGTGCTAGAAAACCTGTCTTACACCCCCATGTAAGACAAGTCGTACATCATTGCCGTGCGCCTTTTATGAATGAATTGCGTTCTAAGGATGACGTCACTTAACCGTTATGAATGAAGTTGTAAGTTCATAATATGCTACTGTAAGAAAAAAGTGCGTAATGAGAATATCAGTTTTCGTAATTTCTGGTCTGAAATAATTGATATGTAATATGCAACACTGGCTGTCGGTACAGACGGGAATATCTGGCTCTCGGCTAACTGTTTAGCGGAAACTCGACAGAGCCTCGTTATCCCCGTAAACAGTCACCCTCGAGCTACATATTCTGGTCTGTACCGGCAGCCGGTGTTAGATTCATTTCATAAGAACCATAGTTAAGTATACTCTCCTGCGCATCAGTCGAACGTTTTGCTATCGCGCAGTAAATGTGAGTGTATTCAGTGGACTGCGAAGGAGCGTAAATTACGTAAATTTTGAGAAAAGCAATAGCGCGATTTTTTTTATACTTTCATTATCATAAAAAGTAACTGCCAGTAACAAAACCTTCAATAAAATATTACGTTCACCTTTCGACCTTTCGACCTGAAATGCAGGATATGCATCCACATATCAGGTTTCTTAGTCATTGGATATTATACAATTATTGACTAGTGAGCCATTGAATATGATGTGATATTCACCGGCAGATGACATATTGACCGAGGCGATAGCCGAGGTCAATATGACTTTCTGCCGGTGAATATCACATCATATTCAATGGCTCACTAGTCAATAATTGTTTTATTATATGAATAGGCTTAGAAATAAAAAAATCACAAAAAGTACAACCTTATATATACATGTACAAATTTTGCCTCGTGGAAGCGCGGGAAAAAAGACGCACGTGTTAGGCGTGCAACGACTTTGCGAACGCTGCGCATACAAAAGTAATTCAAGTTTATACTCATCATTGCGGTGTAGCCTTTAAGTAAAATGGTAATGTATTTATATTTTAATCGAGAAATATGCCATAAAGAACAAAAAGCAACAATTATTTTTAAGTAACACGCGTATTTAAAGATCCTGTAACACATTATTTTTATGGTTTTATATACAAATTATGATGCTCAAATTAAGATTTATCGATATTGTAAGTTCCAAAAAACATTATTTATAAAGATATTACCGAATTTAATATTTCATGTAAATAAAGGGAGGTAATTAGAATTTAGTTTTCTATAAATTCTTAGTCAATTTTTCCAATAAGAAATGAATGCATATAATTTAATGATTACCTTAAATATGTACAAATATTTGCAATACATATTTTACATATTCTTCGATTTTTGAAAATTGACAAATTTGCATAATTACATACATATATAATTTATTGAAGAGTGGTATGCAACCTCAATTACAAAACATACAGGATCTTTAACAGTCTACGGTGTATGATCATTGAATATGAGTCTCAATCTATTTTTAGACTTGGAAAATCCAATTCAGCCAGTGAATATGATACTACACCCAGTAAATATGATTTTATAAAAAGTTCTGTTGACTACTGTTTGGACCAATGAGATTGCAGCTATATTTAGATCATATAATAAAAAATGATACTTGATCAAAAACGTAAACAAAATCATTGTGGCATTAACTTTTTACGTCTTCTTATAACAGGCCCCAGTGACATTGATCTTTGGGTGTGACAGGAAGAACTAGTTAAGTTGCAGCTACGTAAATAATTTGAAATTCTAGGCAAAATAATTGATATAATGGTTTTAAATTATAGTACCCAGAGACATTGACATTTGACGTTTTCATCTGAAAATAAGTTTGACATGCAACACATCAAGATGTATCCACATATAAAGTATCTCTTTGTAGTATCTTTGTTTATATTGACGTAAATGACCATAAACTGAACAATAACAAACAAAAAAAACACCAACGCCGCCCAGTTGGCTATGATAATAGAAAAGTGGAGCCAAAATAATTAAATGGGAGTGTTAATTTAACTATTTATACCTTCAAATCCGTTGGCACAACTGCACGAGAATCCGTTAGTCTCATCGATACACGTGCCACCATTATCACATGGTGAACCAATACAGTCGTCAATATCTGCCTCACATTTCTTTCCTAGAAAATTATCAGAATAACGCATCGTCAACAAAATGTTCACAGTTAGTTAAATCACTCATTGGGTATTTATCCCTCCATTTTGCAATTTTATAGCTGTGTCAAATGCACAAAAATAAACAAGTTCAGTTTTTTTTGGGGGTGGCTATAGAATTAAAATTATATATTAAGCATTCCTAGTACATTCGTAAACCATGATAAATGGACCAGACCGACATTTTCACTTAATCACAGGTTTATAGCCAAGTAAACACAATGTGAATTACAGGTTTATACCTGTAAAACCCCGATTTGCACGTGCATTGATAGTCTGCTACAAGATCTTTTGCACGTGCCACCGTTTTGGCACGGGTCAACATCACACTCGTTGA